CGGCGGCGGCTTCGCAGGCTCGTCCGTGGGGGTCCGGGTGTTCGCCGTGGGCCGCTACCAGGTCACCCTGGAGGAGTCGCTGGCCGAAGGTACACGGGCGACGGGCGCGGCGGGAGGCAGGTGAGGGAGGCCGGGGTGTGGCGGTGACTGAGCCGGGGCCGAGCCCCCGGCGGGTGGAGAGCGGCTCGGGCTCGAAGCCGCTGGCGGCCCCGGTGCGGGCACGGTTGTCCGCTCCGGAGTTTGAAATCGTTTTTCTCTGTTCTGGCTGGCGCGAGGAGAGACATAAGAGAAGACGTCCCAGTTAGCGATGTGCTGTCGTGATTGGACCCATGACTCACGAGAGGGTCAGCTGGAGCAGTGGGGGACCCTGCTGGGCCAGCTGTGGCTCTGGCCGCTGTCCTGCGGCGCTCTGGGGTCCGAGCCTCCCCGGCACGCAGGGCAGGGGATCCCGCCCGCAGCCGCTGCGCTCGAGCTGGGGTTTGTTTCTGGGGAAAAACAGAAACAAAACAAAAACAAAAACCCAAACCAGACAGGACTCCCAAACCCCTGTGTATGTGACGGTGTGCATGCAGATAACCTGTGTGTGTGTGTGTGTGTGTGTGTGTGTGTGTGTTGGCATCGTCTCCGAATTCAGTTAAGTGGTTGCTTGGGGCGGAGGTGGGGGAGTAAACTTGAAGTGCGTTTATCTGTGTTGTTTAGAATCTTCTCCCTGGGACCAGGTCCTGTTTCTGTCCGCCCAGTGTGTCATTTTGTTGGCAGTTTAAAAGGCGAAGTGGTACATACAGTTTAACTCTCCCTTGTGAGGTTTTCGGTGGCTCTTTCATTGTCTGACAGAGGCTATGACAGCAGGTAAAAGTCTAGTTACAAAAAAAAAAGTTTACTCCATGTTAAAAAAAAAAAGCTAGACTTTAGTTTTGTATTTCTGGTGTAAATGGCTTGTAGAACATACTTTCTGAATTCTTATTGCGTGACTTTGAAGTTTTGAGTGCAGGGTATTAAGAACTGCATTGAAAAATCCATGAGAAATATTTCTTGTTGATAAGTAAATGATTAAAGAAGTAAAGCTAAGAAAACGACTGTAGGGAGTTCTGATGTTCTGATTTGCTAGTTAGATGTTGACGCGGTTTGGAAACCAGACAGACTCCACTTGTGTTGTTGAAATCCCGTGGACAATAGGAAATCAGTGGGAGAAAAAGCTGAGGCTTTCAAGTCTATAAAATAAAGGAAAAGCAAACTTCCATTGTCAGGGGTGTGTGTGTCATGGTGTTGCCCTTGCTCAGAATGACCGCCCTTTCTGAAACGTGAAGTGCAGGGAAGGGATTGCCAGATTTCCAGAGCCTGTCTGGGAGTAGTTTTGGTAGATTCGCTACATTGCAAACTTTGCTAGCTCTGGATTCCACGTGAATTTCAGGTGTTGGTTGAGTTGGGGTGAAGATGTTTCCCATTGGTGGCTATTGATGCACAACACTGTGCTTTCAGTTGTTTAGTAGGTGACTGAAGTGTGGCTTGGCTAGTTATCCCTCCTTACTGAATTCCAGGTTAAGTCTTTTTTTTTTTTTTAGACAGGTTTTCTCTGTGTAGCTTTGCGCCTTTCCTGGAACTCACTCTGTAGCCCAGGCGGGCCTTGAACTCACAGAGATTTGCCTGGTTCTGCCTCCCAAGTGCTGGGATTAAAGGCGTGCGCCACCACCGGCCAAGTCTTTTATTTAGTGTTAGGACAGTACTAACATTTCACCAATAGACTGTAAATTTTAACATAGCCCTATCTTTCCTCCCACTCAGTAAGAAAGCACCGGTATCCCTGTTAAAGTGTTTGGTGGTGTGGTGTGGTGTGGGGTGTGTGTGTGTGTGTGTGTGTGTGTGTGTGTGTGTGTGTGTGATAGTAGAGATTGAAGGTGAGGCCATGTTACCAGACTTCTTACCTTTGTAAAATCTTGGGACACAGTCCTGCTAAGTTACTAGACAAGCCTTGAGTTTTCCATCCTCTTGCTTCAGCCTCCCAGTGCTTGGATTCCACGCAGGTTGTTATCAACAAGCACGTCTTCCACTAACTTTGGCCTTAAGTGTTTACGTTTGTTCTTCATGTGTGCATGTTTGAGTGTCTGTGGGTGCATGCGTGTGTATGCCTGTGTACAGTTGTGTGCAGAGACACAACTTGTGAGACACTGGACCCGTAGGTCTGGCTAGACTGGCTAGCCAGAGAGCTCCAGGGGTTCACCTGCTGTCCTCTCCTGCTAGGGTTACAGAAGAAGGCCCCAGGGCTCAGCTTTTACATGGGAGCCGGGGATCTGAACCTGGGCCCCGATGACTGCTACAGAGAGAGACCCTGTCCCCAAAACAAAGAACACAAAAACCTCGAAGTACCTACTTATTTAGTTTTTTAATGGGTGATGGAGTGGTAGGTGGAAACAAAGTTGAAGAAACTCATGAGAGGTGGAATTTCCTGTCTTTACACATGGCTTCTGGGACCAGGTTTAAGTCTCTAGAAGCCAGGGCCTAGCTAGGCTTCCTTCCCATGTGCAGGTCTTCCCTTTCTAGAATACACAATTGAAATAATATTATTTTACTCTTAGTGATTCTGCCAGTTAGGCAAGATGTTTAAGCACAAGGTGGTTCCCATTTCAGTATGATTAGTCAATAATCGACAGATTTACCTGTCATTTGAAGTGTGTATGAAGAGGCGTTCCATTTAGAGTGATCCCTTGTCTTTTCAATAAACCAGTTTCTGTCTTTCTCTCTGCAATTAATTGTGTAGCAAAAGTCAATGAATATGGGCTTAGCAAATAGTGAATCCTTGCTTCCAGGGGAAATGACAGGTTAGATAGCACTGAAGACTTGATTCACAGCGTTTTCTGTTGGCCGATTTATATATGTGCCCTGTCCTGTGTGTATCTGTGTCTAAAGACACCTTATTTAATGTATACTAGTGATTCATTAGCGTGTCATTATCTCTTAACTCAGGCCAGAATAAAGATTATCTAACACACAGTTTCTTTGTAAGGAAATCATGGCCCTCCTTGAACTTGTGAACTCTAGACCTCACTGTGCCCAGGAGCCATTTTAAACACAGAAGTCACCTATTAAAAAGCAAACGAGAAAAGATGACACTACACCCGCCATGGGAAGAACACTTAGAGTGTAAGGGTCAGAATAAGGGCGTGCACGTCAAGGGATTCAGTTTTTCACCCTTGTGCATACTGTACATGACCTTCAAAGTGCCATGAGTAGTGACTGAAGGATTAAGGTAAATTTTAGCAAGTAGACAAAGTGACAGAAGCTGAAATGCTGGTCAGCTGTTGTCATACATACATGTGCATGGATTTGTATACTATAGTTACAGTGGAAGCATTTTATACTTTTATATGTATTGAACTGTTGGCGTAGTTTCCTCTGTGAAACAGTTTGTATTGTTTTTTTTTTTTTTAGTTAAAAGCACACATATGCCTGAAAGTGCTTGTAACTTTCCCCTTTTCAATTTCTGTTCAGAGTTTAGAGCACTGATACCATAGTGAGGCATTTTCATGTGTTTTCTCAAAAAGGATTCCGTTTCAGGAGCTGAACTAATCCCGAGTTTGGGCTTTAGGATGAGGCGGAGTCATATGCCAATGCTGGTTTGGAACAGCGTCCACTTGTCAAACACAAATCATTCAGTGTAGTCTTTAAGCTTTTGTTAAAAGGTAGGACTGGTTGGTGGTTCATCTGTACTTCCAAAAGAAGGGCTTTAATGCTAGTGTAGGGAATTTGAAAGCAGCAAGAATGCTTGTCTGCTCAGTTTTGTGTCTTCGGAACAGGGCCTCATGTAGCCCTGGCTGACCTCACATCTTGCTGTATCGCCGAGGTCCATTTTGAACTCTTGCCCACACTTCCCAAAGTGCTGGGATTGCAGACATGTGCCACACACTGTGCTCAAGAAGTTGGTTCTTCGTGATGGTTGTTTTTCTCCACCTCCATATTTAGTGTACAGAAGGGCCTTAAAGAGGGGACACCAGGGGGGCTGGAGAGATGGCTCAGAGGTTAAGAGCACTGGCTGCTCTTCCAGAGGTCCTGAGTTCAATTCCCAGCACCCACATGGTGGCTCACAACCATCTGTAATGAGATCTGGTGCCCTCTTCTGGCCTGCAAGGATACATGTAGACAGAACACTGTATACATAATAAATAAAATCTTAAAAAAAATAAAACAAAAACAAAAAAGAGGGGACACCAGTAGACACTGGTGATGTGCTGAGGTCATCTCAAGGTTACAGGGCTGGGTCGGAATGGCACTGAGAGTGTGCTGACAGAGGGTAAGACTTACTGATACGGTTATGCGTTCCTGCCTCTGTCAGTAACCGGAGGCAGGAGCTTAGAATGCTGTAAATGTAACTTAGGAGTT